TTTCTGTAAACAAATGTTCATAGTTTCATAGTTTTGTCTTCCATACCAACTTATCTCAGCCTCTTGATATTTGGTTTACAGCATTGACGTGGTCCCATACCGTCGGATTTGATTTCAGGTCTGTCGCTCACCACGCCCTGTTTACCATTAAATTTTCAACATTAATGGTCAATGGTAGGAAAATTTTTTAACAGTTTTTTTTAGCAACTACTAATCACAGGCTCTTGATATTTGACAAACAGCATTGACACATAGTCTCATACTGTGGGATTCGATTTCAAGTCTTTCACTCATCCACTTTCTGTTAACTGACTTTTTTGATATTTGGTATACAGCATTGACGTGGTCCCATACCGTCGTATTTGATTTCAGGTCTGTCGCTCACCACGCCCTGTTTACCGTTAAATTTTCCACGTTAATGGTCAGTGGTAAATTTTTTTCAAAACATTACAGCATCATGATATTTGGTATAGAAATGCAACCCGGCCTTTTCTGTCTTTGACCCATTTTTTTTTTTTTAATTTTGAAATCATTCATTTATTATTGTTGAAATCTACTTATAATACCTTTAAAATACCATGTTCCCAGTACTTTTTATTTACATGCTTAAGTTGTTCTTAACATACGCAAAACAAACTTGTACATTCCTTTATTAGAAATTGTCTTTTTTTATATAACCAGGCACAAGTGACAAGATAATATTTATTTATATGCTATTATCATTGTGGACACAAACTGTAAACAAAGGTATCATTTTTGATTCTAGTCAAAGTAAAAACAAACAGTGATTGCACTAGAGTTATATCAGAAAGTTTGTGGGAGCTTTACATGCTCATAACATTTCTATCTTTGTCAGAGAAATATTTGATTTCTGAGAACTATTTTGACTTCAATTTCCGAAGAAACATGAAACTACACCCGAAATTTAAATGCATAATAACTATTACATTTGTTTGACTTAACTGTTTCTTATGGTCAATAGTGTTACATGTATATAATTTTTTATGTTCATTTTACATTTGCTTGTTTTTCTATCATTTCAATCCATTGTCTTAATCATTATATAACTTGATTATACCTTAATTATGTAGCATTGTTTTTAGATTTACATTGTATTTGCAATTTTGTGAACATTTATCAGTAAGTAATATTCTTAATAAAAGAAATTTCACAATTGATATGAAGTACCAAGCCATTTATAGAGTGTGTTTCCGATTTATGAAAATGTTTTTAACAAATGACTTAAAATTGAGCAATCACCATACTTTCTAGCATAAGAATCTTAAAATAAAATTACTTAAATTGCAAGCAAGTTGCAATTTTATACATGAGATAAACTTATCGTGACCAAATTTGTTTTTCATGTTAGCAAGTTCTGTATATATGCTTTAATTAGAAAAGAACACTGATTATGTATGAAGTAACTGAAATATTGAAAGCTTTATAATAGAATGTTTGTCATGCAACATTAAATTGTGTAAGATTCAGACTATTAGATAAGGCGATGTACTTATTAATGCTGTTATAATTACATGTATTATTATTGTGAGTAAAAAGGTTCTGGGGATATTTCTATCATGTTTTAACCAGGGGCATAGATAATATACATTGTTTACTTTTTTATCAATATTGCAATTGGTTTTAAAGCTGTGTTTTCTTAAATATGGATATTATTGAATCATCCTTGACCTCAGTATTCTCATTTTTTTTAGCTCACATTAGCAAAAGCTCAGCTATAACAGATAGTCAAAGATTCCTGGTCTGTCCGTCATCCATATTTCAATAATGTCATATTAAACTATTCAGTTTGAAAACGTCAAAAATTCTCATTTACTGTGTGCAAGAACGCTTTAAATTAATTTGGTCTTTGCATGATAATGTCACAGTAGGTAAAATAAGATTAGATATTACAACCATCCTTTTCTCTTATTGTCCCATTTTGCTTGTTTTGCATTATTAAAGCCATTTACTCATGCTCCCATTCCATTTGTAATGTTTCTTTGCAAAAAAGTAAATAACAGAATTTTAAAATTTTTTTTTGACTGTTACAGGCTAATTAAAAATATAATACGCAAACTATTAAAAGTACTTTTTTTGTATTTTTTTTAATCTCAGAAATTTTTAAAATTAAAGAATTTTACAAAAATACCTATATTTTCTTCTTAAATTTCATGAAATTAACATGTTCCAAGTTTCACTTTTCATCATGTGAAAAACTGAAATGCCTCAGCTAGGTAATCTGTCTGTCATTACATTTGAAGCTTATGTAGCAATATAGTATTCTAGGTATTGTTACTGTATATATATTCATTATAACATAATTCTGTCATCATGTTAAGGATCTAGCCATGAATGTACTGCATGCATTCATATTTTGGATGTATATTTTATTGTACCACTTAGATAATGTAATAAAGTTGTTCTCATTTAGTTTATTCTTACTTCTTTCCCTCTTTCAATGTAATATTCAACAACCAGTGTTAATGTCTCTATCAGATTAATAATATGTAATTCAGTGATTCAAAACAAAAAAAAACATATTTATATAATTTTATTTTTCTAAAAGATATTGCGATTGATTCATCGTATACATGTATACATTTGTTGCCGGTAAAGTATCTGAGCGACTAGGCATATAGTGTTAAACTTTGACAACGGATGTTTCCTTTTGCAGCGACACCAGTGTCAAAGTTGCTCATCCTATACTTACTTTCCTTTAATCGATTTACGAACACTTGAAATTTAATTGTCCAACTTCCGAAATCGTTTTACTTTGTTATAGTCAGATGTCCTTTGACTTGCTTTATAAATTAATTATGCTTTCGGATAAGTAAACTTTAAGTAAATGGACGGAACCTAAAATGTAAGTAAATTATGTACTCTTTAAGGAGACAACCATTGATTGGTTTTTTTTTTGTTGTTGTTGGTGTTTAAAATTACTGATTAACATACCAAAACAAATAATAATACAACTTAATCTGAAATTTCTAAAAACAAGACGGAAGAACTTATAAACATAAAATATATAGAGAATAAAATTTGTTTGTTTTGTTTTTGTAAAGGCCCAATATGCTTCAAAAAATGCTTTTGTTGTTATTTCACAAATGTACTTTTAATTTAATGAGTTTTAAAAGTTTCTAAAAGTTACTCATTAGCAAATTATCTGAATAATCATTTTTCCCAGTTAGTACATGTACATATATTGTGATTTAGTTTTTTGTATAAAAGTAAAAATACTTTTTTCGCTTTAAAATAATATCACAAGTAGGGCTTCTTTCTTCGGGTAACGAACATCTTTCACACTCTAAAACCGTTATTTAAATGTTATTTTCACTGATGTTTGTCCCTTTTAAAGGAGTAAAAATTTATTCGTTTCCGAGTAAACATGTGCCTTTGAAAAGGGTAGGTTGCTGATCCGATGCCGGATACTGTTCTGTTCAAAAAGGGGTTACATCCGGCCCTTTAACTTTAATACATACTGTATGCACATTCAATTCGTTAGAAATAACAATAATTATTAAAAAAAAAAGAAAAAAAAAAAAAAAAAAAAAAAAAAAAACACGAATAAATTAATTACATCACATGAAGTTCATGACAATAAATTGTGTGGGGTTTTGAAAAACACGAGCTAATCATAACTTTACGTTCACTAAATGTCATGAGAAAAAAGAAAACACATTTATATTAAAAATTTAAACAGCCAAGTTTATTATTATTTAATTTCAATAGCCCTAAATTGTGAATGTTGCCACAAAGTCAAGAGCAACCCAGTAGCCTACATCCTGCCATCTCGATTTTTTATCCGTTGAATGCAGTACAAACTATCATAAAGTTGTTGAAACCTTCTAGAAATAATATCAAGATGGTATAACTATGCAAGCAATATTTTAATCTTTGTCATACATGTACCAACATTATATCAATATATAACAATTTGAAGCGATTGTATTACTAAATGTAGGAAGTAATGGACAATGTTACATGTGGAATGTCAATCTCGTTTGACTGGCAGTTATGCATGCCCCATTGCTATACCTGTACTTATAGCATTCTGACAAACTTTGCAATGAACATAACACCGATTGTCCACGGCTTATAGGGACAAGCAATCATACAGTCTATGGTACAAGCATCCGACAATTTGCACTGTTATTAAAGAGGTAAACATGTACCAATGCGCTAATTATGTTATTATCTAACTTGCATCTAAACATTTATTTATTGTGATTTTCTTCCGCAGGTGGCGACTACTATCAGCCAGTCAGGAGTTCTTGTGTACATTGGGGCTAGTTATGCTTACTTTGAATAACGTCTGTTCCTCTGAAAAACACTGAATATCAGGAAATATTTATCGCTGAATACGATGACGTAAAGGGTCTGGCAGTTTCGCAAAACAGGAAATGTACTTGTTGCTACAGGCAATGCAATCTATCAATATAGACATAATAGTATTTCATCGATGATTTAGTCTCTGAGATAGATATAGTTGAGGATATTTCAATATTTACACTATTTGACTATCAGGGAGGTGAATATTTAATTCGCTGCAACGACACGGCCCATGTTTCGTACACAATGCTTCAAAACATACAGCAACTTTTGGCTGACGCAGCCCGTTAGACAACCCTGCAGCGTTCGGTCACTCGCTGGCGGCGATTTTTTCAGCACATGTCGTCTTTATGCCCTGCCCAAAGGAAGATATTGTAATCTTTACTCGGCAATTAGCGGAAGCAGGGGAACTGAAACATTTTCTGAGAGAACATTTATCAGTTAAAAGAGAACTTTTTTTTCATTTCGACCCATGGTCAGCATAATCGAAGTCGCTACATCAAGTCTAAACGTGGTACGAGATTTGAATTTATATATTCTGCATTCTATTCCAATATCTATGTATACCATTTTAAGGAAAACACTTTGTCGGAGGATGGAAAGAAAGGATAGCATATATAAGCCAAAATGTGCATAAACACACATATTTCAGGTCGTACATGGAGGCAAGCTTGAATGTAACGGTTACACAACACTGATTGCAGCAACAATTTGTCAAAACAGGACAGACTGCTTTCCTAATAGCGTCGTTTAGTGGAACGCAGTCAAAGTATTCCGGATCTATCATGTGTAAGTTTCCAATTGGCTTGGTGGAAAAATACTTCATAGATGAGCAAGAGGCATGTTTTAGGGGTAGAAACGGCACGTTTCCAAGTTGGATTAATGGTTCTGAATCTTCATGTACCAAATCACTGGTAATGTTTAATTATTATTATTTTTATTTAATTATTAGGTTCTAAAAAGGTTTTTTGTTAACATTCATTGTCGCCGTTCCTAGACGGTGGCATATACAATTAACACGAATTGATCGTTTCTATCCAAAAACCGCCTGTCCTAAATCAATTAGAATAGAGAATTTAATATCACATGATGCAAAATGAACGACAAAAAGGGACGCCCACGGGGCAGCCATCCGGCATGTTTTTGTCGAATTACCTATGGATTTCATATACCAAACTTAGCTTCTGTGGGGTAAACAGTATTCGGAATATTTCTCTTAAATTAAATAAAGAAACATAAGCAGTATTTATCAGTTAGGAGTCTATGTCACGAAAAAAGTATTTATCGAATACTATATACCTCCTACCATTTTTGGAAGTGCAAATACTTGTTTTATCACAATGGAACAGTTAGCATGTGCACAATAACTTCATCATTATCACATATACATAAAGCGAATTGTACTATTGAATGTAATGGTTACATTGGGTTTACCGTATGTCTTTTTTATTTGTAACAGGATGATATATAATTTATAAATAAGATGTAATGTAGCTGTAGTTTTAAAAACAAATTTTCTCTACTGATATACTTAAAGCCACATTATGACTCGGGAACGAATTTTTTCTCTGTAGAAACATGATATGTTTTAAAATGTTGTAATAGTGGATTGAGAACATATAAGATGCTTATCATCAGAAGAAAAAAATGTTCTGAATGCGAAATTATTTGTAATAAATGTAGGAAAATGCCCACAGAGTAGTACGAATATTTTGACTTGCTATACATACTACTAAATCATTATGAGTTTACTTATTGCTAAAATGCAAAAGACTCGAAGATAGAGGGCAATATGTGTTTATATTTTTGAAAGCTAATTTCGCCAGGTTCAACTTTAAATCATGACATTATTTTTGATCCAAAACTGTTTGTTGTTTTATTTTTCGTGCCGATTGTATTTTTTCCGTTAGAAATTATTTGCGAATTGCGGTAATTGTGAGCAGTATCAATACTTTGCGAGGTAAACTGTGTATTGAAAAAGCGATATATTGCGATATATTGCCACTTTCTGATGCCTACATCCAGGCTTTTTTTAGATGCAGCGATTCTTCAGTGAACTGTCTGAACGATTCAAGACTATAAACAGCAGAATGTAGAAAAGCACACATTTTAAATAATTCGACCATCAACCGTTTCAATCGGATCTTTCCGGCCCTTCCCGTCAAACTTCGGATAAGAAGATATAATTGATGATAATACTAGCCGAGATGTTCCGATTGCAACCGTTTATTAGCTAGAATTTTAATTCTAAAATAATATTTGTTCTGAAGTTGTAAGTATTTATTTTATGTTTCAGACAAACAAGGTGATTAGTTGTGGCTATACGGATAAAAATAAAAGAATCTTATTTGATGGCTCTCTTATGAATGAAAATAACAAAGATTCTTTCCTTCTTTCTAAACATGAAGAGGAAATTACGTCGTTTCTGATGTTGCCATTTGAACACTCATTTCTTGGCTATATTGGAACAGACACTGGCTTTCTGGAAAAGGTAAAAACAACTGAGCAGTGCATGATCATACAATCATACACGTATAAGACTATTTATAGTAACACAGAGCAGTTTAAGACTAATTTTAGGAATACGACGGACTTTAAAGTCCTGGGAACACAGAGCAGTTGTCGAAACTAAGACCGTCTCGACGATATGACAACTTATCCTAAACATGTTTTAATGTATCAGGCATTCACTTTCTAATAGGAGAAAGAATGTGATATTTATTTTAAGATTACAAGTAAATATTGTGTTTTATTATTATTATTATTATTATTATTATTATTATTATTATTATTAATACCGATGATGACCCATTGAATTATTTAGTTTTTTTCTTTTTATATTTTTCTTGCTCTCGAACATCATAAGTTAGAGTGGTACCTTTTTTGCATTTTTTTCATTACCACCTTTATTAATTACTATAATAGAGTATCAAGATATCCATCTTGCAGAGGCATATGTTGGCATGATTTAGACATGTGCTATTTACGAAAATTAGTTAGTTTATACAAATTTAATTTAGTTCGATTATGTTGGGAGCTATAAGTTTATTGAAACACTCTCGAATCCGTGCCTGGAACCAACCAGTAGTTAGCAATGAAAGGAAACAATGACTTGCCCCTGACAGGGTTTGAACCCACGCGGCCTGCAATCCTTAGAATACTAGTCCGACGCGTTTACCATTCGGTCATGCCGCCATTTGTTGAGAATGACCGTAAAACTTCGGATGTTTTAATTTCCGATATTTCTTTCATTGTTTTACAGGTTTTGTTTAATCCATCGTTTGGTAAATCAATAACGGTGTTTCGATCATCTGTATCGAAGGACCATGGTCGTATTAGGAGTTTAACGCTAAGCGAGGACAAGAACAATCTATTCTTCATTAAGGAACAAAAAGTATGTATCACGCATCAGACTCTTAATTTGTACTGCATTCATTAATGGTGTTTATTTTTATTGTGTTGCCTCAACGCAGTAGTGACGACATATAGGGATCACTTCTCCGTCGTCTGTCTGTCCGTCCGTCACAAAACTTGTCCGGACTACTCCTAATAAAGTACTGGTGCACTTTCATCCAAATTTTACATGAATGATCAGTACCAAGTCTAGCTGTGCATATCGTCAGCATTTTCCCTTCAATGGCCCTTTAATAATTTTTATTTTTAAGGTTTGACCGGACTACTCCTCTTGTACCACTAATGCAATTTCAATGAAACTTTACAGGATTGATTTGTAGCTCAAGTACTAGTGCATAATACACAAATTTTTCGCTTGAATGATTTTCAGCTGAGCTATTGCCTTTGAATAAAAAAGTGTTTTGACCTGTTAATGATTTTTTGGTCTCCTACTACACAGTAGCTGCAACATGCGATTGGCTATCATGAGGCAACACATGTCATCACAGATTGCCCTTGTACATGCACATCAAGTTTTTGACACTGCACCAGTGTAACATCGATTTTCATAGGATAATCGTTTAGTATACTTTGTAGCCAGCTCAAAGAGCAGGCTCGCAAAGCGAGCTTTACCGTAACGCGAGTACCTGCTAAGTGATGGTGTCTGAAGTACTTATTTGACACATCGCAACTTTTCGAATTTAAAGATAACGACCAAAAAATGAGGAATTAGGTTTTGCCTGATTTCATTTAATGTACATTTACCTCCTCTTTTTACAACAAACAAACAATAATAAGGAAAAAAAACAATAACAAAAAAAAAAAAAAAAAAACAAAGGGGCGGAGCCATATTTAACCACGGATTTATATAAATCCGTGATTTAACACAGTACGTGTGACGTCACACGCACTCGTCGTCTGCATGACAACAGTCGAGCTGATTCCTTCTCTCTTCCTGTAAATTAAGGTAATTCGATTAAGTAGCATAATAATAAAATACATTAATTTTATTCATTAATAGGACAAGGAACCAGAATAAACGGAAGCAGTGTATAAAATACCGATGACAATTTTAAAACGGAAAAAGTGTACCAAGATCTAACCAATAGCAATACATCCTTTGCATGGACATGTACAATATGTGATGAATCAAATCTTTCGAATATTTCAAGCATCCTCTCAATCTCATCACATAACAGCTTCTCACCTCTGGTAGATGAAAATACAGATACACCTAGCTCTATAAATCTCAAAAATCCAAAACAAAAACAAATTGATTATGTATCCAAACTGAAAATTCTATGCATAAACTGCCAGTCAATAGTCAACAAAAAACATGAATTTCAAAATTTATTAATAGATCAAAACCCAGATATAGTTACAGCCACAGAATCATGGCTAAATAAAGAACACTATAACAGTGAAATTTTCAAACCTGAACTCGGCTACACAGTTTTTCGCCGTGACAGACTCAAAGGTAAGGGCGGTGGAGTGTTTATCCTTGTTAAAAACAACCTCCTACCAAGTGAACAACCAAAACTGAACACCGATTGTGAAATTTAAATATGGAAAAAAATAAAAATCAAAGGTAGTAAGTCACCTTTCTGGCTCTTTTTAAACAAACCACACGAATTTTATATAAATATTTTTTAAAAAATTTTAAAAAACCCCCCTTTGAACTTGTGCTTTAACTTAAAAGGTACAAAAGTTAATTTTTTTTGGGGCGTTTTTAACCCCCCAAAATTTAAAAATTGGGGACTCTGAACAAAACCCCATATCTTAAAAAAAGGTTTAAACCCCCCCCCAAAAAGTCCTTTGTTGGGAAAATTTCCTGACATCATTGATTAAACATAACCTTTTTAAAAAAGGGTTTAAAATGAAAGTACACGAAATGACAATTTTCCCCTTTTGATTTTTGTCTTTTTAAAACACACTCTTTTTAAAAAACTAAAGGGTTCATACCTGGCAAAATCAGTTTTAAATTGACATCTATCCACAGAATATTTCAAAGGCCCTTACCCCCCTCAAAAACAAAGCCTCGTTATTCCACCTTATATATAAAGGCAAAACTGGGAACCGAGTTTGCTTAACTTTAAATTAAAACCTCAAACATCTGAAATATCTTTGGAAAAAAGCTGAATCTTTATCTGTGAAGAAACTTTTTGGTCGCAGTTAAACACACACTTTGAGGATTTTGGCATAGGCAAAAATTCTACCCACTAAAAGAATTACAGCTTTAACCCAAACTTTGTCCTGGATAACAAAATCCATTTTAAAAAATTTTAATTCATAAAAAGGTACCCAGCTCTATAAAAATATTTAAAAAAAAACCCAAAACAAATAAAAATAAATCTGATCAAGATCAATGGCTAAAATTTAAAATTTGAAATCCGGCAAATATAAAAAGCTAGAATTAAACATTCATATGGAGTCTTACTTAGAAAAACATCCTGAACCTTGCAGATTGATGATGATGAAACTAATACACAAAGTAAAGTCTGTTACCAAAAAACTATACACACTTATAAAAAACTCTAAACAAGGTTCACAAAGTGTGTCTCCATTAACAGATCAAAAGACTGGTTCTCTCAAAATTAATAACACTGAAAAGGCAAACATTCTTAACAAACAATTTCAATCAGTTTTCTCACCAATTATACCACTTACACTTAAAGATCAATGTATACAAAAACTGAGACTCATGGATCCCAAAAGTATTGTCAGTACCCACAAATGACTGACATCATCATCAGTAGGGCAGGTGTACTAAAGCTCCTCGCCAACCTCAATGCCAACAAAGCTGCCGGCCCTGACCACATTAGACCAATTGTCCTGAAGGAGCTGAGAGAAGAGATTGTTGACATCATTGCAGTTCTTTTCCAAAAATCCCTGACCACTGGTAATATTCCCAATGACTGGACCCGTGCAAACGTATGCCCTGTCTATAAAAAAGGTGATACAAGTGATCCAGCAAACTATCGCCAAATTTCCCTTACATGCATCCTCTGTAAAACACTGGAACACATAGTTGCCTCTCAACTATCCTCTCACTTTACCACCCACAACATACTCTTTGATCTTCAGCATGGATTCAGAGAAAGACGGTCATGTGAGACACAACTCATTGAACTTACTGATTACCTTGTCAACAACCTTTCAAATGGCAAACAAACAGATCTCATACTTCTTGACTTCTCCAAAGCATTCGATAAAGTAAACCATCTTAAACTCTTAGATACCCTTCAAGAACATGGTGTTTGTCCTCAAATTATAAACTGGATACAGTCCTTCCTTATTGGCCGTAGACAGACAGTAGTTGCGGATAGTGACTGCTCATCTGAAGTCCCAGTTACCTCTGGAGTGCCCCAAGGCTCTGTCCTAGGGCCCCTTTGTTTCCTTCTATATATCAACAAGCTACCATCTTATGTCCTTAAATCCCAAGTCAGATTATTTGCAGACGACACTGCTGTATACTTAACCATCAACTCCTCCTCAGACCCCCCAACTCTCCAACATGATCTAGACAATATGGTTCTGTGGGAGAAGCAGTGGGACATGGAGTTTAACCCTTCAAAATGCCAAGTCATCCATATCACCAAAAAAAAGACCATAATTAAACACAAATATATGCTCCATGGCCAAGTCCTAGAGTCTGTTACAAATGCTAAATATCTCGGACTAGATCTATCTGCTGACCTTAAATTTAATACACATATATCTCGAATAACTTCCAATGCAAACAGATCCCTTGGCTTTATTAAAAGAAATGTCACTACTAAAAATGAGAAAGTGAAAGAACTAGCATACAAGTCCCTGGTCCGCCCACAGGTTGAATATGCCTCAACTATTTGGTCTCCTTACACTATAACCAATATTGACAAAGTTGAGATGATCCAGAGACGCGCAATTAGATGGGTTAAAAGGGATTACTCCCCTCACTCTAGTGTCACAGCCATGCAGGAAGAACTGGGCTGGCGATCCCTTGAACATCGCAGATTGGACTGTAGACTGATAATGTTTTATAAGATATACCATAACCTAGTTGCAATTAATCTCCCAACTTATGTTCAAACCCCACATAGATTAACCAGACATATGCATCCCTTATCCCTACGCCAAATACAGGTATCCTCTGACTACCATAAGTACTCTTTCTTCCCTCATAGCATTATACTATGGAATAAACTTCCTAGTAACATTGCCACCCTGCCCAACCCGAGTCAGTTCAAACAGGCAGTGGTGGGTTTGCCGTACTAGTCTTACTCTCAGTGTTTTTAAACTATTTTATCTCTTATCATCTTGTTTCACTATTAACATTTTAACCATGACTAGAATACATTTTCAGTCTCACCTTCCAAGCATGTCAATGTTTGGACTTTTCTTTTCTTAGCTTTTCTTTTCACCTTTTACTAACAATCCGACGTGCACTAAATTCCTGCCTTTAACGCTCGTAAGAGGGGTTGGCAGTATCCAGAGAGAGAGAGAGAGAGAGAGAGAGAGAGAGAGAGAGAGAGAGAGAGAGAGAGAGAGAGAGAGAGAGAGAGAGAGAGAGAGAGAGATAGAGAGATAGATAGATAGATAGATAGATAGATAGATAGATAGATAGATAGATAGATAGATAGATAGATAGATAGATAGATAGATAGATAGATAGATAGATAGATAGATAGATAGATAGATAGATAGATAGATAGATATAGATAGATAGATAGATAGATAGATAGATAGATAGATAGATAGATAGATAGATAGATAGATAGATAGATAGATAGATAGATAGATAGATAGATAGATAGATAGATAGATAGATAGATAGATAGATAGATAGATAGATAGATAGATAGATAGATAGATAGATAGATAGATAGATAGATAGATAGATAGATAGATAGATAGATAGATAGATAGATAGATAGATAGATAGATAGATAGATAGATAGATAGATAGATAGATAGATAGATAGATAGATATAGATAGATAGATAGATAGATAGATAGATAGATAGATAGATAGATAGATAGATAGATAGATAGATAGATAGATAGATAGATAGATAGATAGATAGATAGATAGATAGATAGATAGATAGATAGATAGATAGATAGATAGATAGATAGATAGATAGATAGATAGATAGATATAGATAGATAGATAGATAGATAGATAGATAGATAGATAGATAGATAGATAGATAGATAGATAGATAGATAGATAGATAGATAGATAGATAGATAGATAGATAGATAGATAGATAGATAGATAGATAGATAGATAGATAGATAGATAGATAGATAGATAGATAGATAGATAGATAGATAGATAGATAGATAGATAGATAGATAGATAGATAGATAGATAGATAGATAGATAGATAGATAGATAGATAGATAGATAGATAGATAGATAGATAGATAGATAGATAGATAGATAGATAGATAGATAGATAGATAGATAGATAGATAGATAGATAGATAGATAGATAGATAGATAGATAGATAGATAGATAGATAGATAGATAGATAGATAGATAGATAGATAGATAGATAGATAGATAGATAGATAGATAGATAGATAGATAGATAGATAGATAGATAGATAGATAGATAGATAGATAGATAGATAGATAGATGATAGATAGATAGATAGATAGATAGATAGATAGATAGATAGATAGATAGATAGATAGATAGATAGATAGATAGATAGATAGATAGATAGATAGATAGATAGATAGATAGATAGATAGATAGATAGATAGATAGATAGATAGATAGATAGATAGATAGATAGATAGATAGATAGATAGATAGATAAAAATGAGCGATTATTTCATACTATTTCACGTTAAAAGTACATCGAGCTCGCTTCGAGGCTTTGCCTTTTTCATATTATATATACACAATAGTAACAAATTTATCAATTATTTACTTTATTTAATGTGCAGTATTGTACATTCGTTAAAAGACTTTTGGCAGTTATATATGGTTGCATGCATATGAACGGTTGCTTGCTATATAACTTTTGCTTAACGACGTTACAAACATACATTATTATAACATAAGTACAAAGTATGTCGTCCAGTACAAACTTATTTACGGATATACATGTACATGACTACTGTCAGTTTATAAGTATATGTGCAATAGATCTCTAAAATAGAAAGTTTACTGTGTTATACATTTGTTTAAAAAATACTTGACAGGTTGTATGGTCGTATACAGACGCATGTTTGCATATAAAACACGTGCGCCATATTTGGTTGGATGGTGGGTGGGTGGGTGTTGGTCGGTGGTGTGTGGGTTGTGGTGGGTGGGTGTTCGTGGGTGGGTGTGGTGGATATGTGGGTGTTGATGGGTGTGTGGGTGTTGATGGATGGGTGGGTGTTGGTGGGTGGGTGGTGGTGGTTGGGTATTGGTTTTGGGTGTTTGTGGTGGTAGGTGTTGGTGGGTGGGTGTTGTTGTTGGGTGGGTGGGTGTTGGCTGGTGGGTGGGTGGGTGAAGGTGGTAAGTGGTGGGTGTTGGTTTGGATGTTGGTGGATCGGTGGATGTTGGTGGTTGGCGGGTGATGTTGGTTATGGGTGGTTTTTTTTGTTGGTGAGTGGTTGGGTGGGTGTTGGTGGGTGTTGGTTTGTGGGTGTTGGCGGTGGGTGGTTGGTGGTGGGTGGGTGGTTTGTGGGTTGTGGTGTGTGGTGGGTGGGTTGAAGGTGGTGGGTAGGTGGTGGTTGGTGGGTGGGTGGGTTTGGTGGGTGGTTGGTGGGTGGTTGGTGGTGGGTGGGTGTTGGTTGAAGGGTGGTGGTGTTGGTGGGTGGGTGGTGGTGGGTAGGTGTTTTTTGTGGGGTATTGAAGGGTGGGTAGGTGGGTAGTGGTTGGTGGGTGTTGGTTGGTGGGTTGGTGTTTGGATGGGTGGGTGTTGGTTGTTGTTGTTGATATATATATATATAAATATAAACACACACCAATAAATATATATGGTAATTTAATGCACAAATCTGAGAAAATTCAGTAATTTAACATTCAAGGTCAAGGTCATTAAAGAGCCCAAGTCCATTTGGGTTTGATAAACAACAAGGTATTGCCCTAAAGAATGTTCTGTTATAATATGAAGTTAATCCCTTCAAAAATAGCAAAGTTACAGCCAGTTACAGCCAAAACAATGAAAATTTCAATAATTTGACCTTCAAAGTCAAGGTCATTAATTAGTGAAGGTCAATGTCTGTCTGGTTATTTTTAAGGGTTATCCTTGAAGATTATTATGTTCAAGTTTGAAGACAATCCATTCAAAAATAACAAAGTTACAGTCAATAATAGCCAAAACAATGAAAATTTCAATAATTTGTCAAGCCAAGGTCATTAATGAGTGAAGGTCAAGGTCTGTCTGGTTATTTTTAAGGGTTATCCTTGAAGATTATTATGTTCAAGTTTGAAGACAATCCATTCAAAAATAACAAAGTTACAGCCAATAATAGCAAGAACAAGCAAAATTTGGACTTTGACCTTGAAGGTCAAGGTCATTTATGGATGAAGGTCAAGGTTAGTGTGGTCTACTGAAAGGTCTTGTCCCAAGGGTTGTTGTGGCCAAGTATGAAGACAATACACCAAGAAATAAAAAAGTTATGATCAAGGTACAAGTTTGCGGACGGCAACGGCAACGCCGCCGCGACTATCATAATACCTCTACTTTTTAAAAAAAAAAAGTCGAGCAAAAAATCATTGAACATTCTCAAAGAAGGAAAGAAAAGTACTTTAGATATAAGAATATTGTACATTGCTTAAAATTTTATTGAAATTTGCGTGGGGTATTGTTATACCATTTCACTTGTAGTACATATGTACTTCATTTATTAAACTTGTCATCTACGATATTTCAGGCAAAGTCTCACTTATATATGATTAAAACAAATGAATGCGGGGTGCATATCAATTGTTACAGCTGCCTGACAGACGTGCTGTCCTGTGTGTGGCTCCAGCGCACCGCCATGTGTGTATCGAGAGACAACAAGACAGAAACATTGGCCTTTGAACATTATTGCCCACCAGTGGTAAATAACACTATACTGTTATATACCTCAACAGATATAATAATAATAATAATAATAATAATAATAATAATAATAATAATAATAATAATAATAATTAATAACATCTATTTTAGAGACACATGAAGATACACCATCGTAAAACACAAATAACTGTGTTAATTTTGATTAAATGTGGCCTTCTAAACAATTTATAAAAATACACACACAAAACAACATCATCAAACAATAACAACTATTCCATTTGTCAATTAAGACAAACATAATTTGACTGCTTTGACAAACGCTCCTTTACTAAAAAAAGTTAATGATTTGCTAAAAATAATTAAAACAAATTTTGTAACAATAATTATACGTTTAGGTATATTTTCAAAATGATATGACTGTAATAGTGTGTTATGGCCTTTATACTGTACATAATTATATTGCATTATAAACATTTATTCTACAAACCTTCATTACAAGGTTGATGGCGTAAGTCCGCTGAAGGGGCCGACAGAGGGAGGCACGGTCCTAACTCTGACAGGTTTGATGGACAACCCAGCATCATATGATTCTCCAAATCAAGAAACACGACTACATGTTAGTGTCATGGTTGGCGCAATACCATGCATTGTCAGCAACGTTGCACAGTTTCCTAAACGGTACCTTTTACTTGATATAATTGCTTTAAAGGGACACCACTGTGGTTTGGTTTTTCTTGACATAAAGGGACAAGAATTTTTTTGAGCTTTATGTTGGACATCTGATGTAGATCTAGACCAATAGATTGTGTGCAAAATTTCAGATCATTTGCTCACTCCGTTTTTTCCAGAATATTTTTCTCATTATGAAAAATGACCCAAAATTGAAAAGTGTTGCAACGTTTTCCCCTCAAAACGGACTTAGAATAGAACAAAAAAACAATTTTCAATTTATTTCTGAACATTTTTCTTAATTATCTTTTGTTTATCTTTCTGCTTTAAAAGCCCCGGCTGATCTGTGTAAGAATTTCAAATTTTATTTTTTTACGCGTTTTAAAATCAGTGGAGTTCCTTCAATATGAAATATGTCATAGATTCACAGTATATATTAAACAGTTCTGATTTCTACTTCGCAAAAATAGAGTGTTCAAGTTAAAGTTCAAGTCATATGTTACATAAGCTTGTAATCGCCACAGACGGTGTACCAAATGAATTGTATAGGCTTGTAAGACAGGGTACAGTGATTTCGTTTATATACTGTGAGATTTCTAATGGTCGAAATTGATCGATGTTTCTTACTTGTAATCTAAACACATTCAGTTTTATAAGAAAAATAATAAAACTAAGTATATCAACATTTCTGTGATCTGTTATAATATATGTTGTTTTTTTTTTGTCTGTGACAATTCCACTGTTGAGATGCTATTTTCGGAAACTGGAGTCCGAATTAAATAGCAGTTGGAAGAAAAAAGCGATGTTTACTGAAATGTGTCTGGCTGGTTGTTGATATTTTCAACTAGTCTTAATTAGCTCTTTCTAAAATAAGATTCTAATTAAAGCGGTCTTAACAAATATTATGCCGATGCGCATCCTTATTATACAGTTGATCCAGAAATAATTAAATTTAACAAAATCAGCGCTAGACGGAAAATTTCTGTCTATGATATGTTTAAAATATACTCATTACAAAAAGAATATTATTATGTCCTCAAATATTTATGCAGCCTGATCACTATGTATGACACGTTGCAGTAAACTTTGTGGCAGAGATTTTCGTTATAAACCGGAATCTACACGAACGCTTTAAGCACACTTGCACCGTCAATGTGATAAGGTGACTTTCCTGAGTGATCTTAGGTGCCCGGACATGTCGTTCATCTTGACAGAACATTTGGCGGAAGTCACCTTGGTGCTTTAGATAACAGTTGATCTGGAATAAATTATCAATTATTCACCTGCACAATGGGAAATGTATATTTCTAAAGTTAAAATTTGTATCCGTTAATAATTACACTGACGGGAATTAACCTGTCCCCTATGATTTTACTTGTGATTAAGCAATTTAGGAAATTTCAGCATCAAAAGAACAAACTTGAGTAGTATAATAGGAAAACATACTATCTCGTCATGAAACAAACACTTATTTTTGAATTTGTTGTTTTTTCTGCCATACAGACTGGAATGCATCATTTCGAATACGCCGTCTGAAGGATCTCTTAACATTTCTCTTGAAATGAAAAATAACGGGACAAACGGAGACATGTTCCAGCTGAAAAAATCGCGGGGACTTGCTCTTTACAAACAGAATTTCGTCTTTGTGGTAAGGCTAAATTTGTTTTTTTAATGTTCAATGACTGATATTCAAAAAAATATGATTATTTTCCCAAAATTTATCATGTTCTATTTTTTGACACTCAAGTAGATCTATACCTATATAGTATTAAGGCAAAATACCTTTTATACAACATACATGTATATAATAAATGAGCCGCGTCACGACAAAACCAACATAATGGGTTTGCGACCAGCATGGATCAAGACCAGCCTGCGCATCCGCGCAGTCTGATCAGGATCCATGCTGTTCGCTATCAGTTTCTCAACTTGTTATAGAGTTGGTAAGCGAACAGGATGGATCCTGATCAGACTGCGCGGATGCGCAGGCTGGTCTGGATCCATGCTGGTCGCAAACCCATTACGTTAGTTTTGTCGTGACGCGGCTCATAATATATTTATTTGCTGTATCCCCATCTTCGGCCTCAGAAACAAATTATTATCTGGTTTCTTTAGAAAAGGCAAACATGAGTTTGATAGATTTATTTAATGGTTTTAGACTACGAGCATGTTAGATGCTTATTACCTGTAGAAAGTAATGCTGCATGTGAAATTATTTGTCGTGAAAGGAGTGAAAAAAATGAGCACAAAGTAGTATTTTAACTTTCATTCAAAGTACTAAATCACCATACAAGTGTACTTAGTCCCAATAATTAAAAGTAACAAAAGCAAAAGATGGGTCAAATTTTATAGCAACTGAGTAACTTTAATATGAGATCAAATTCAAATATTAAAAGCTTTTGAGAAATAAAAAGGAAGTTATTTCTTCTAAGGGCATAATGGACCTGTTAAAAAAAAGAAACACAAAATATCCACTTTGCACTATACTAATATAAGCATGCTAGCTGAGGTTATCTCGTTCACATGCTATTTTGTGTTTATCCGAGTGAATAATCACAGTGTACTTAAAAGAAACGATTAAGTGTATCTAAGTGCGAATAAAATTACGGCTGAATTCGGGCGCTAACTATTGTTGGCCTGCGCATAAGAAAGTGTTCAAAAATTCAAACTTAGAAAAATATATTAATAGATAAATAGTCGCAGTCCTGGTCAAATTTGAATGAATTTTCGGAAAAAATGACAGAATTTACTGGGGTTTTTTTTATCACATATATTGTACACTTCAGAGTGTGAGAAATTTCTGCATGTATTGAAGAATTATAAATATTTCTGTGCATATCAAGTGCGTGAGGCTAGGATAAAAGGCTTTATATCTAAGCGATTTTTAACAAAGTTTTCCTAGAAATTGGCACATCTGGGGGCGTACTGCTTTAAAAACATTGCAGTTACACTGTATTTTAACAGGACCCGATGTTGTATCATGACGGTCTTACGGATCACAGTGTTAAACTGTCGGGCAATATACAACTTACCATTCGAGGTGAAAATCTTGACATAGGTAGCAACAGACGACTTCTAATCGGTGACAAGGAATGTCGCATCACAAATCTGGATCAGTAATATAACATTTACATTTATTTTCTTTCCCAAACGTATAGTATGGTGGCGGATTTACACCATGTCGTAGCGATAATTCGCCACGAAAATGCGAAAACACGAAGTTACGAAAAAGTCCAACTATCGTGACAAGAGATGCGAAATACGACATGACATAAATCAGCCATCATAATATTGACTTAACTACAAATAAAAAACGATATAAAATAAATAAGATGATACAAGCGATAATATTTTCATTAATTTCTGCTTTTGTCTTTTTCCTGTAAATCAACTGCTTTATTTTCTGCAAAAATTTATGCATTTATTAGATCTAGGTCGCTGTTACACACAGCTATTGCTTATGAAAATGTACAGAACCAACAATTATATACGGAAATATATAATAAATATAAAGATTAAATTCACATTAAGCCTCAGAAATGATTTATTTTCTTTCTGTAGAATTGGGCCTATAACATTTAAGATGCTTATCACCAATTATTTGTAATTTCAAGCTTTTGAAAAGGCTAAATTTGATAATCGTCTGTATATTTGAAGGATAAGCAAGAACGAGGTTACATGCTGTGCGCCGAGTTTTAATATGACCGGAAATTATACCGTAGTTTATGAGGTGGACAATGGACGGGTATACGGACCTAACATAACTTACACGCCTGAACCGGAGATCATTGATATCCGCCCTAACTCTTCTATTGTAAGGTAAATCATTCCTTTTAGCTCCTGTTGTATAAATTTGCTCCTCAGTTATTGTGGCAATGTAATGATAAATTGGATTATATCTTATAAGCAATAAGTTATTGTCATCTATAATCCAAATATCACGTTTCATACCTTATGTATAGCCGTTACAGTTTCTAATATTTAGATAAAAAATCTATTTTTAATTCAACTCCAAGTATATTTCATTATTATCTTTTATATTTTTTGCCGTTTAAAGTGTCCCAGTTCTATGAAAGAATTTCAAATGTTATGTTTTTAGGCTTTAGGATTTCAGTGGAGCTCCATTAATTTGGTCAAAGAATTACAAAATTTAAACGACATCTCTTTCATGTAAAACAATAATCAAAGACCCTATAACAGAATTTTTATGGTTTTATATCATAAATATGATGCTCAAATTAAGATTTGTCAATAGTGTAAGTTCCAAAACAGCATTATTTATAAAGATATTATCAAATTTACATTTCATGTTAATAAAGGGAGGTAATTAGAAATTCATTTTCTTTAAAGTCTAAGTAAAAATTTTCAATAAGAAATTAATGCATATATTTTAATGATTACATATAATGTGGACAAATATTTGCAGTACATATTTTACATATTCTTCGATGTTTAAAAATTGTTTTAGAAGAATAATTATATACATGTGTGGTAACAACCTTAATTACAACATACAGAGCGTTCCAGCAATATCTGATATGATAAAAATAAATAATGAAGTCACATATTCGCATATACCTATCAAAATATGAACATGTAGTTTCACTAAAGGCTGATTATGAACCTTTCAGAATAATTTATAACCATGTTCTCATTACTTTCTTCATCTCCTCAGTGGTGGGGTAACACTGACATTGACAGGAAAGTACCTGGAAGGTTTTGGAAGTAAGTGTAAACTTAACCTAGAGAACAACAATAGTACATCTATGGTAAATATAACATTTTCATCTAAAAGTAAATATACATCTGTAATATATGTGAAATTTAGAAAATACTAAGATATCTCGGTGAAAAAATCTGTAATCTTAATATAAATTTACATTAAATATGGCAAATTTCTTCGTTGACATTTAACTTTCCATATCTTGATCACATAATATAGCATAAAATGAGGTGACGTGACGTAACATTTGTAAGGCATAAAATGTTTCAACATTTTTTATTTACAGTGAAAATACGGAAATTAAAATACTCATTTTTATGCCACCGCAGCATCTGCGTTGCGGTGGCATCTAGCGATTCACCTGTGTGTGTGTTTGTATGTATGTTTGTGTGTTCTATAGATTATATAGTGAACTTAAAAAATCTTCTTGTGAAAAACCACTAGTCCTATTTCAACAAAACTTGGCAGGATTGATCCTTGGGTGAAGGGCTTCCAAAGTTGTTCAAATAATTTCATTCCATGTAGAAATTTGGTTGCCATGGCAACCAAAAGGAATTATAAGAATAAATTTAAGGAAAACCTATGACCCACGGGGCGGGGCTAATTTTGACACTAGATGCAAAATTTGAACAAATTTGGTAGAGTATCTATAGATGATATCATATACCAAATATCAAAACTTAAAGCCTGGTACCTTCAGACAAGATGGTATTTTAAGTTTTTAGTATAATTATGTACATATAGTGAAAATCAATGACCCCATGGGCGGGCCAATTTTCACCCCAGGGCTATAATTTGAACAAACTTGTTAGAGGTCTACCAGACAATGCCTTATGCAAAATATCTATGCTCTAGGCCTTGTGTGTCTTTAAATATAATAAAAACTTAAAAAATCATCTTCTTGAAATTGACAAAGGCTAGAGGTAATTAAGACATTTGCATGAAACATTGTGTAGTGAACCTCTACCAAGATTGTTCAAATTATAGCCCTAGGGTCAAAATTGACCCTGCCCCGGGGGTCATTGATTTTCACTATGTACATATAGTAAAATTTTAAAAAAATCTTATTGTCTGAAGGTACAAGGCTTAGAGCTTTGATATTTGGTATATGATATCATCTATAGGTACTCTACCAAAGTTGTTCAAATTTTGCCTCTAGTGTCAAAATTAGCCCCGCCCCAGGGGTCATAGGTTTTCCTTATATGTATATAGTAAAAAATTAAAAAACCATTTCCTCTAAATTAACAAAGGCTAGAGATTAGATATTTTGCATGAAACATTGTGTAGTGAACCTCTAGCAAAATTGTTCAAATTATAGCCATGGGGTCAAAATTGGCCCCGCCCTGGGGGTGATTAATTTTCAGTCACTATGTCATATAGGATCTTGTCTGAAGGTACAAGGCTTTGAGCTTTGATATTTTGTATATAATATCATCTATGGGTCCTCTACCAAAGTTGTTTGAATTATGCCCCTAGTGTTAAAATTTCCCTAGCCCAGAGGCAATAGTTTTCCTTATATGTATATGTATATATAGCTAATGCCAGCTATGAAATTTGAACCATGTGCACAGATTAAGATGTAAAGTGAACTTTGATATCAGCTGGCCTAGATTTTGACAAAGTGTCTTACTGTGTTGTCCTTTGATGTACAGTCATGGAATTTAGGCAATGTGAAATATGAACTTCACCACCAAATTCACAAGACTCAAATGCATTGATAGATTCCTACTCTGATTTTTTATTTGAATAACAATAGATTTAACCACTAATTTGATAATAAAAATTAAATAGGTCAGTGATCTATGCATTATGGCAATCTTCAATTATATAGAAACAAAAAATTGTGTTCCGACATTACTATTTAGTTTTGTATAAATGCGGTGGCATAGCATTTTTCACAAATGCAATCTTGTTTTCATCAATATTTCTCAATATTTCATTTTCAAGTACATAATACATAATTATACTTTTGAATTTACAGAATGAAAGTTACTGCAAAATTTCTTACGAAAACGACACTGCCTTGATGTTGTGTAAAACCTCAGCCCTTGATAGCTGGAATAACCTCCCATATATAGCAGTACCATCTTTGAATAATACATATGGCAAAGTAATCACAATACGCACACATCCAGTTCGTATAGTTAAGGATCCATTTATGGATCAGACGGACACGGTTCTTCCATTTCCGGCTGGCACGAATCTTACTAAATTAGAGTTTAAGGTTTGTGTTTATTGTGATTTATTGAATTAGCATTAATGACATGGAATTAGAACTTGCAATGTTGTCGGTTGGCATTTTTAAATCAGAATCCCTATCTAGTGAATAAAATATAATAATTGTATGCAATTTTTTCACACCACGATAATTTTCTATCGGTCTTAACGCCACAGGCTTGTAAAAATATATAGAGGATATTTGTTTATTTCAGTTTAAGATAGAAATATATTTCACCGAGTGAGCACCAAAAGGTATATTTCACGAGTGGCGCAGCCACGAGTGAAATATGAACTTTTGGTGTTCACAAGGTGAAATATATTTCCATCTTACACTAAACTAAACAAATTATCTTTTTATTATATGCAAAGAAACGTTTTAAAAAGACATTAAACCTAATACTAAATGAAAAGCGCACTGGTCAAATATTAATACAACGTGACGTTATTTACGACGTCACGTCATTAAGTTGGTTCCAAGTACTGTGCACGCTGGTATTTCACTGTAACAACGTAAGGGGCTTAAATTCAAAACAGTGAAATTATAACTTCACTGTTTAAAACAGTGAAATTATCAGTTTTATATCACTGATATATTTCTATAAACCACCGAAAAGCATGTAATAAAAAAACATCTAATTAATACATTTTTTCCTTCTAAAGGGGTCGTCTCTAGAAGGGATAGGTAAAGATGACGTTGCAATTTTAGTAGGGTCAACCAAGTGCATCGTAGAAAATGTTCATGAGAACGGCATATCGTGTTTGATGATTCACCATATGGAGGTTACAGACGGACTTAAGGAACGTGTTAAGGTACACTTCCTGTAGGGTTTTTGTCAAATCATAATATTATCTTGGTTATAAGCTCATTATGCCTTAAAAATGCTTCAATTTTTATTTCTCAAAAGCTTTTTAATTTTGGTGTATTTTTGTAGTACAAATGTATCCAGAAAAAGTTACTCTTTGGTTAGTTGAACCATTTTTTCCATGTGTTTTTGTGTATCTTTTCTTTTTTGGCAATGAGTACGTTATATAGTGAATAAGTATATTGTAATGTATGGAAGTCAAAATACTACATTACTTACATTATGCTATATTTGCGACACAATATTCATATTTATCGCTACTTTATTCAGGTTACACGCATCTAACATTTCTCTTAAACCATGAAACATTTGAGCCGTGTCACGACAAAACCAACATAGTGCGTTTGCGACCAGCATGGATCCAGATCAGCCTGCGCATCCGCGCAGTCTGATCAGGATCCATGTTGTTCGCTTTCAAACCCTAGAACAAGTAGAGAAACTGATAGCGAATAGCATGGATCCTGATCAGAATGCGCGGATGCGCAGGCTGGTCTTGATCCATGCTGGTCGCAAACCCATTATGTTGGTTTTGTCATGACACGGCTCATTTTAAAAATTCATGTTCGCTTTTTCTATAGAAGTAAAAAATGTTTCTGAGGCATGATGTGCCTTTAAGGTCCAAGTTACCGACAGTATAACAGTCACATGGCGACTTTCCACCTCAGGTGCCACAAAAGATATCTTTATATTGATCAGCAACAGTCCTTTAGGTTTAACATATTTAGTATTCGCTAGTATCAGTGATTACTCATTAGTAAATTTTTTCTTGTTAAGTAGTATGTATGGAACACAAAAATAACGATTTGTTTCCGTTTTGCTACTTTTATGACAAATCATTTCACATTCAACGCCGTTTTCTTCATGAATTATGCATCTAACATGCAATAAAATATATATTAAAGCATTGTTAATCATAAGGTTGCCTTTTTGTCACACGAAAAATAGTATTTTATTACTGAGACATGATGTGCCTTTAAGCATATACTATAAAAAAGGCATTTTAACAATACGTTTGTTCCATAGCAACGCGGAAGATCTTGCACATTTTGCGTTATGTGTAGGGCAAAATGAAAATTGAGGTGATATTGTTTCATATGATAAGGAAAATTATTTTGTCTTATCATACATACAATGTCTTGTTGCTCATCATGTCTTACGGTCAATTTTGCATGAACACCAGTTGTTTTATTTACCGCGATTACCTTCTGCTGAGAAATGGTCGACCAATTACTGTACTTGTAGGACCAATTACTTTACTTGAGAAGAACGTGTACTTTATGTGGTAAACGTATGAAACCATCATACGCATTCCCTTCCAAAAACAAAACAAAAAAGAAGAAGAAAAACAAAAACAAAAAAAACAAAAAAATTTGCCTACCGAGTTTCTGATTGCAGTACTTTGTGAAGGTGTAATAATCATGCTACATTATATTTCTGTTTATTATTGAACCATAGTGGAACTATACTTTTGTTTTTTCACCAAAGTGTGACATTGGATATCGGACGTACGACTTAGGCACAGTTGCATTCCAGAAGCCGCTCCCGAGCACCAGTATTTCTACGAACAAAAGTGACGACTATTTCGCAAACATGTTTGTCACCGGCGGAGTCATTGTGGGATTTGTTGCCTTTGTGGTCTTTATCTTGGTAATAAGAAAACAAAGAAAGAAGCGTCTTTTATCTATGGATGAACCTTACAACGTACATTACCGTCGAGACAGCAATATACTTACACTGGATGGTCTGTCTGAAAGCCATCAGTCTGACGCCATACAGAACAGGCAAAACGGTAACAAAAAACTTAGGTGATATGGCAAGACTACAATTTAAAACTTTAAGGAACTCCACTCATATCTAAATGCCCCAAAACATTTTTTTTTTACATAGATCAGTTGAGCCACTTCAAAGTGAAAGATATATATGCAAAAGATGAATGAGAAATATACTAAGAAATAAATTGGAAATTGTATTTTTGCGTTATATTTCCCCAATGTGAGTGAAAAGCATTGCAACGCTTTTCAATTTTGGTCATTTTTCACAATTTGAATAATTATTCTGGAAAAACGGAGTGAGTGAATGATCTGTAAGACCTACTTCAAAATGAACATTAATCTCGAAAACTTATTTTCAGCCCGTTATGTCAAAAACCTTCAGCGAAGTCCTTTTAAAGATCGCGAGAGTATCACCTTTTCTGATAAATGAATAACTGGCTTGAATTTGAAACATCTTGAAAATTCAACTCAACTTGTAGATCATAATTTACATACTTTTAAAGAGCTTTTACATATCTTATATGTCCATGTCGGGATCATTTCAGATTACCAAGAGCGCATACATATTCGAGGTACACACGAGAATACCGACGTAAAAGAGACGGACCCGCTTCTTCCATTAATTGACGATGATACGCGTGATCAATTTGCACGGAAAAATCTCATCATTTCAAACGAATGCCTCATTCTAGGTGAAATAATCGGACAAGGTATATAAACAGCCACTTCCGACTGAATGTCTTTCTAAACAATTAATATATACAAATGGAAACTTTTCTCATTCCTTTAAACCATATTCCATTTTTTGCCTCTGAAAAAATTTCTTTAATAAATGAATCATTCATGCCTTAACTGCATGTTGCAACTTTTCCACAGACAATTCTTATTGCTCTTGTTGTCTGGTTTTTTCGTGCTCTTTTTTCTAAGTTTAATTGGCAAATCTTGTACATCGGAAAAGATCTAACACTGACAGCGATGGCAAATGCAGTTAATTATATGAAGTACAAACTTTTCTAAAATGGAAATGAGACATCGCATACGAAACAACCTTCTATGTTAGAATGCTCAAAATGGCAATTTTCCATACTTAAAAAGACCTTTTTTAGAAAAAGCCAGAGAGTTGAATGGGATATTTTAATGAATTTTGAATATTGAAAAAAATATTATTGTATATTAAATATATATCTGATTGCTTTTTCCCCTCCTGCTTTCTTATTGGTTAATTTATATCTGCTCAGATAAGATAAGATAAGAAAATATATTCTTTCATAGCAGCAAATTGTTGCTTCATTGAAAACAGACTGACATATAATTAGAACAGCATATATATCCAACCACGTCACATCAAATATTGGGATGTACATCGTAAACAGGGCCGGGTAACACTTTGAACAGGTAGGTCTTCCTTGAAGTATACAGTTTAAAACCTACTGCTTGATCCTTTGATTTGTTGCACGATTTTCTCAATCCCTTTGCTTTCTGTTCACAGGAATATGCATATGGCTTATTTGTCTACATATATAAAACAAATATTGTAAGAATAATATTTCTTAAATATTAGAATCCAGCATGTATTTGCCAAAATGCCTGTGTTTTTAGTCTGTCTTTCGGACAATTTATTAATAAAACGATAAAAGACTGTCAGTTAAACAAAGAACAGTGTAGTGCACTGTACAAAATATACCGTTACAATGTATATAAATCAAGTATATGTTCCAGAATGAATTTTGCTGAAACAACAAACGACAACTGTGTAATTTATTCTAAAGCACATATTCTTTGAACACTGATGTAGGTAATATTGTAAGCTTCAAATATTGTTTGGTAAATGTTTTTTTATAACAGCTTTGATAGCATTCCATTTTCAAAACGACAGTATTACACTGTTTCTTTGCAAGCGTGTCTTGGCATTTCAATATTTGTATGAAACAATGCGTTTGTCTTTGCTGTATATAACAAAACGTTGATTTAGTTTACATTTAAAAGTTTTAATCCATCAGTGAACTTGATCTAGATTCGATTGAATTTTCTACGATATCATATGAATGGCATTAAATAATTGTCTCAACAATGCTTTTAAAATTTCATTCTTTTGCCATGTGTTTTAAATTGTCTTTATATATTATGACATAATGATTTCAGGGCATTTCGGATGTGTTTACAAAGGCTATCTCACTCTCCCTAATGAAAAGGCTGAGACTATTGTAGCTTGCAAAACGCTTCACAGTAAGTATACATATAACAGACAGGTAATAGTTTTGTTAGAATTGATCTTTTAACGAAAGAACCTTTTTATTTTTATTTTAAACAACACAAAAACTCGAAAAAACGGTGTCCCATCAACGTCATTGAACACGTCATTACGTGAAAATAGTTCACTCAATTTTAATAATTCCGATTATGAAAATAAATTAATTGCGACGGGCATGCAGGAAGTCTTCGGACAGGAACAATTCTAAAGATGTCTTTATTTTTACATAAAAATCCCAAAGATGTGTATATATGTTTCATCAACAGCCATAAAGAAATGTCTTGGTGTTTTTCAAAGAAACAGTACTAAAGAAAATATATTGAAATTTTCACGGAAACAGCCCTTAAGAAAATGTATTGAAATTAAAAGGAAACAGTCCTAATAAAATGTATTGATATTTTACGGGAAACAGTCGTAAAGAAAATGTATTTGATATTTTAACGGAAATAGTCCTAAAGAAAATGTATTGACATTTTACAGGAAACAGTCCTAAAGAAAATGTATTGATATTTTAAAGGAAACAGCCCTAAAGAAAATGTGTTGATATTTTACAGGAAATAATCGCAAAGAAAATGTATTTGATAGTTTAATGGAAATAGTACTGAAGAAAATGTATTGATATTTTACAGGAAACAGTCCTAAAGAACATGTATTGAAATTTTAAAAGAAACAGTTCTTAAGAAAAAGTGTTGATATTTTACAGGAAACAGTCCTAAAGAGAATGTATTTAAAATTTTAACAGAAATAGTCATAAAGAAAATGTATTATTATGTTACAGGAAATAATCCTAAAGAAAATGTGTTGATTTTTTACAGGAAACAGTCGTAAAGAAAATGTATTTGATATTTACACGGAAATAGTCCTAAAGAAAATGTATTGCTATTTTACAGGAAACAGTCTTAAAGAAAGGTGTTTAAAAATTTTCAGGACACAGTCCTAAAAACGTACTTGATATTTTACAGGAAACAATCCTAAAGACCTTGATGTGAACATGTTCCTGAAAGAAGCCCTGCTAATGAAAGATTTTCACCACAACAATGTTATGGCGCTGATTGGAATATGTCTTGGTGTAGAGAAGCTTCCTTTGGTAGTTCTTCCCTTTATGAATAGAGGCGATGTACTCTCTTACATCAGAGATGTCAAAAATGTATGTTATAACACCATTCTCTCATCTTTAATGCTTGCATTCGCAATTTTTTGGTCACTTTCGTCAAACTTCGGATAAAGAGTATGATTAAAAAATCATGGATGTGTCTCCAATGGATATTCTTGCATATGCAATGTTTCGGTGCGTTTCCACTAATCATTCAAGCATTTTAAGAAAAACTTACTGAGTATACGTTGTTATTGATTAAAGCTGATGTTATTAAACCGGAAACTTTAATTTTCTTACTTACGATTTTAATATGGTTATACGCTTTCGTACAACATTAAAATTGACCAATTCATAACAATTATATAGCAATCATGCCAGATATTTCCGATGTCTTTTGGTCTTTAATTTACAGAAACCTACGGTTAAGGAATTGGTAGTTTTTGGAGTCGACATTGCAAATGGAATGCACTATCTTTCACAACTGAAGTTTGTCCATCGAGACTTGGCAGCAAGAAATTGCATGTAAGTATTTTTTTTTAATATCTGTCTTAAAATTCAAATAAGTATTAGTATATCATAGACACTTTTTAATTAAATACATGTAGGTATTATTTATGACTCTGGTGTAGTGTTGCGGGAAATCATTATTTGTTAACTACATGCCTGCAGAAAAACTAACAAATTACTAACTGAAAAATGTGGTACATTTGTACATCTTTGAATTTTCATGAAGTGTTTAACTAAAAGCTGTCTTGTACAACTTTTCAGTAGATCTATTAAAATCATTTTTCTCACCTGTAATAAACTAAGACACATTTGAAGAAATCAATCCAGTAAACAGATGTGTCTAACCCCATGTAATGTTAGCGTAAGGCATTGCATAAATACTAGCTTAAGGTCTTCAGCGTACCCATTTTTATACTGTGACAGGACGGTTTTAATGCCGCATCAGATAGAATAAAAAATGTTAAAAAAAACGGCTTATAAAGTTTTGGAAGCCAGAACTACATACATGCATGTAGAAACACATTTCATAGTAACATAGAAACCCAAAGTTTGACACACGGTCGTCATTTTTTGGCCATTCCGTTCTCTTCACGTCAACTTCATTGACAAAAGTACATTTGTACTGGACAAACTATGAATCAGCAAAAAATTAAACAATTTAAATAAGAAAAAAGTAGTAAGGTTCGTTTATTCATTATGTTAGGATCGATGATGACATGAGGGTGAAGGTCGCTGATTTTGGCTTGTCACGTGATGTTTATGAAAAGGAATACTACAGCTCCTGTGATAAGAAAGCACAACTTCCGGTAAAATGGATGAGCCCAGAAAGTCTCGAGTTTGGACTATTTACACATAAATCAGATGTGGTGAGAATGATTTAAAATCTAAAAAATAAAAATGGTGATATTTTTTAAAATGTATTAGAAAACAGTGGTAAAATATCTGGTTTGTATTAAACTAGTTCAACTTAAAATATAATGATAATCATAGATGACGTTCACAGATACAAAGTACAAAGGTAGTCAGGAATGACACATTCTTCTTTTCCAGTATAAATAAAAGATCGCTTAGCACTTTGTATCTACAAAGAAAATCACAACAATATACGTATTGTTCTGGACACCTTCATTTACATTTATTTTATAACAAGTGCAAGTATGTCTTGTTTAGTCGCAAGATTTCGCCCTTCCCATCAGACTTTGTTATTAAAAATCATCGAAATGTTCCGATTGTCAACCCAATCGAGACACCTCTGCTATCATCAATAATTATCTGAAGACTGGTGGAAAGGGCCGAAATGTTGCAATTGAGTGTTAAAGATTTGAAAAATGAGAATGTAAAAAATATCAAGCAAATTGAAAAATCTATATCTATTTACTCACACCATTGCTTTATTGTTGTTGTTTTTTAATCAGTGGTCATTTGGTATTGTTCTTTGGGAACTTCTGACAAGGGGCGTCAATCCCTATCCCACGGTTGATAACTGGGACATTTTGAGGTATCTAAAAGAAGGCAGACGACTTAATAAACCAGACTTTTGTCCGGATGAAATGTAAGTTAATCTTTTTTTAAATCAGAACATGAAAATGTAATATATGTTGTGTGAATAATTGTACCGAAATTGGATTTAAATTTATTATTTTACGGGACACAGTTCAAGAACGATGTAATTTACATACTGGGACTTTTAATTATGTAAGCTTGTAACAACCTAGCGCCATCTTATATGTCTGAATTGTTTACTATTTCTGGCAAGCAATGAATAATGACATACATATATATTGTTATAACGTTACCAAAACACGTCAAAAATTATGGACTTTTTGTTACAAATATTCAAAGTTTGGAATACAGTACCATTTAATGTCCGTTCCACTAATTCATTTTTGACATTTTTTGAAAAATAAATATTTAAAAAATATCTTGCAGCTCAATAGATAATACAAAATGTAATAGTTATATAAATAGATCTACATGATCTTCATCGTAACTATATATGTCACTATTATTAAATTTTCTGTTAAAACTTAACAAATAATTTCAAATAGTGACAAAGTGCTTTGGTATGTACAGAAGTTTCAGCTCCTTGCGAAAGTGAAGGCAACTAGTACTGGTAAACTGCTTGACAGCCTGCCCAGGAACGATGCGTTGGTTGAACTGTGCTCTGGTAAATTCAATGTGGCTTACTGACGTGATCCGGAGTGAAAACTACCAACAACACCACCACTGAATGAAATCTCTATGCCAGCCCGCATAGCTCAATCGGTTAGAGAGCGGGACTTGTAATCTCGACATTGTGGGTTCGATTCACGGGGTGGCCAACTAAAATTACTAATCAGACATTCGAATTGGACTTTAAATCGAGGTCCCGTGTATGAGTAACCATGAGAAGTTTCTGGATTTGGGGAATTTTTCTGCATCTGTATCTTGCACTATCCTCCAAAATATAAAATGACTAATACTCTTCTGGAGGACTCGCCCATATGGGCAACCGGTGGCGAGTATAAATAAACTTAAAAACATACACGAATGAAATCTCTTGCACTTTTCATCAATGAATGGAAGAACTCACTCTCTATGGTGGACAAAAATAGTATTGTGATATTTGGGTAGTATATATAGCTAGTCCATTCTAATGCCATTATATTATTTATGTGCTGAAATTATTCTTGTTTTAAAGGTATCGCATCATGCAGCAGTGCTGGAAGTGGGATGCTGATGAGAGGCCTTTGTTTGGAGATTTGACTATCAGAATTCCTGAATTATTGAGAAAACTCGAGAGAGCATCTGAGAAGAGGAAAACGCTAGAGGAAACAACCTATTGAATCCATCAAAAAATAAATTGATTGAAGACGTTCTTTCATATTTGTAAAATCTACAAAGGTTTATCTTTTTATCTTGAAATGTACCTTTTTTTCTTATGCTCATTCCCTTTTCTGATATTTTCTGTGAAAAAAATGTACATATACATTGTATTTTCTGTTGGAAAATGATATAAAGAGAAGAAAGGTTGTTTACAGAAAGGAAAAAGAACTTATACATGTAAATGTCAATTAAAAGTCTGCTCTCGGTCACTTGAATTATAGAAGATGCAAGTGGTAGTGAGCCCAGATTTAATATCCGCCTGTCCCCGCGCTACAAGGAAACTGTGTTTTTTTTGCACACCAAAATAGTAACGGATCTGTCAAACCAGCTGTGCGAGGGGCGGGGGGAGGTATTTAGCGGGCATTTTCCCATTGGCGTTCCACCAAGTACCGGGCCTTAACTGTGGGTTCGATAATCTGAAAGCAATGTGTCGTTATTTCTCGGGGATTGAAAAGTCAGGGTTAAAAATGACTGGTGCCCTAGTTATAACAATATTGTTGTTGACAATGAAAAGTACCTGTATTGTATTGTCGTAAAAAAACTAGAACGTATAGCTAGTGCACTGTATCTGAATTTCATGTATGTTTACTAACTACAGGTGTGTAAAGGAATTTATTTTTGAAAGTTGTGTGACTGATTCTTTATTGTAATAATGGCATGTACATAAATTATGATACTAGTATTATTGTGTTTGCAAGCTGGGATTGCAACTTTAAAATGGCACAAGATGTAAATTATTTAACATAATCACATAATTATATAATACGAAGTATCACTCATGAAAATTGTTTGTAAATGCACATGTACATATGGTCTTTGCACGGTATTGTAACTTATGTCCTCTTTATATTTTCAACAATTTTCGAATGTTTCTGCAAGTCGGAATAACATTTCAACCTCCGACACCAATTCAACTCGTTTAGCTCACAAACATTTGTTACTTTTTTCCATAACTGCTTTATATAGAATGGCACGAACGTGCCACATCACTGAATGATCCAACATTGAATAATCCACGATAATCGCCGTATGTGCACGATGAGGATATTTTTGAACTCATTATTATACTTATTTCATTTTTCAAATATTGAATTCAAATTCAACTTAAGCCGGTCCTTGTGGGGTACAGACGACTTTATTTCACTCAGGTGTCACAAAGTATACAACATTTGGATAATCATAATAGATGTACCATTTCCGTTCATAAACAAGTTCAATCAAACCGAGCCTGCAACATATTCATTTTTTTGCTGCGTTGTCTCTGGAACAATAAGATACCTATTTAGCTTCGTCAGTCTAAGACAATCAGAAATTCATAATGTTATTTAAGCGATCCATGCAGTAAATGGTATATTTATATACAAGTATATTCTTGTCACATGTATTGAAACATAAAGTAAATTATTTCTGTAGTGCGGAAGCTATAACTTGTTTTTTCCATTCACGCAAGATGGTCAGGCCACTCTGTAACGATCTTGTGTTTCGTTTAGGCAAGGCGTTACATTCAGGGACATCTTGTCTATCAAATAAATGCTGCTTGTTGCATGATATTAATTCGGTGGCACATGTATGACATTTGTAATATTCACCCGCTGAGTTCAATAGGTGGGAGCATCGGATAAGTATTCAAGTTCGATCCCCGACCATTGAGTCTAATGATCATGTGTCTCTTGCCGCGGATTCTGAAATAATGTAGGGTTAGTAGTCGATCAACTGCGGAGAAATGTTAATCACTCCATCCGAGAACGCCGGTTTGGTGGATCGACCGCCGAGAAATATAAAAAAAAACGTGTTAATATTGGCGTAAAAACACACGACAAAATGTGACATATGCATTTATTTATCTCCTAGGAACGAGATAATATCTCGCTGGAACGAGTAAATTATTTCATGAGAGCGAGATGATATCGCTCTCGATCTTATCTCGTGGTCGTTAAATAAATAAAGAAGTGCTCACGTCACCTCTGTGCCACCAAGAAAAACGTTTTCATTTGTTTTCTTTACATTATTATATTTGCATACGGTTAGTTTTTCATGTATCTTTTATCGACTTCATCATTGTTCATTTCAACAAATGGCATATTTAAACAATCTAAATTATGCGGCTATGCGTGTATTATTATAAATTTTAAAGCAGCACGCCTCCAGATTCATGCTAATTTTCATGAAAATGTATTTAAAAGTATAATACCCGGTATTGTGAAGTAACAAAAAGGAAGCAATTTACACATTATAAATGGCACTTGCAAATTGCAACCCACGTTAATCACCAATAAAAAATGGTAAAATTACTCCTTACTGCGTTAGTAACGCGTGCAGTAGCAATTTAGTTATAAATACCAAAAAAATAATCGCACATAACATGTTAATTATTACTTGAATCTTTAATCGTTTTACTTTTCTTAAAATCTTAGTAGATTTTTCTTTAAGTTTGATTTAATTGAATTATTTTGGCTAATCTGGAGGCGTGTAGCTTTAATTTTCAAATGGTATTCTTGTCCATTTTTTTATATTTCAAGATTTGTTTACATGTAGTTGGTTTTGTTTTATATATGTAAATATACTCAGTTGCAAAAGAAAGTGTGCACTTGGTTTCTTGACAATTCTGTATATTCTGCCAAAATATTGGCAAATTTTATATTAAATTTTGCAGAACTGTATTGACCCAAATTGGTTTACATTGTATTGAAATTTGATAATTATTAGAATTGTTGTTTCGTATTAATAGCGGAAGAGCGAAAGGTAAAAGTAGCAGAATTGTGACTTTTTAACGCTCTTTGTATGATTGCGTGACTGTTACGTCAATGTTATCAATGGATTAACGAAAGTGTTCAAGACTGCCTGGGTTTTAATGATGTTCCATTGAAAGATTCAAGTATTCAAAAGCAAAAACGGATTCATAAAAGCACAATTCTGCAACTTTTATTTTCCATCCCTCAGCTGTTTATACATAACCAAAGTTCTGATATTTATCAAACTCAATTAAATATAAACCATCGTGTGTTCAATACATTTCTGCAAATTTTTAATACCATATAAGCTAATATTCTGCTTTAATAAATATACCAAATTCCTCTGTAACCAAGTGCACGCTTTCTTTTGCAACTGAGTATAAGATTTATATTTTTGTTGTAAATACAAGTATTCGTTCTGCACTTTATCTGTATCTGTCAAGGAAATAAACAATTTTTTTATGTTTTCTTTTCTCTTAGTAAATAACAAACAAATGGGTTATTTATCCGACACCTTTATTCGTATAGGTGTATTGCTATTAGAAAGATATTGATGAAAATGATACGCCTATCACCTGCCTCGATAACAAATAAACGACATGCCCAAGTTACATCTAATTAATGGAAAGAGCATCCAAAGAACACGATGCGCATCCGACATATCGATACCCTCTTTGAGAAATCTACAACATTTCGTGTTTGCGAATATTTGATCATTATTACAAGTGACCTTGTATATAACTTCAGTCAATAATAGGGGTCACTCATTGGTTCCACGAAAACGGAAAACGTAATAAATATGATGAAAATTCTATTAAGGCTTCATTTTTCGGTCGCTTTTTAAACACCTGTCATATAAGAGGGTTGTTCGGGAAGTTCTGAGAATTTTGTCATATCTCCTATATTTTTTGTTTCTAAGACGTATTATTTAAATTCTCAACGGATCAACATTGTTTTAAAGTTGTTGCCCAGTGCCACTGAGTAAACAACATGACGTCGATAGGTGACGTTGAATGGCGAAGCATCGTGAAATTTTGTGTTGCGCTGGAAAAGTCTTCCACAGAAACGATGAAAATGATCAATTCTACAGGAAAATACAAGAAATGCAGTCCGGCTACAGTGTATAGATGGCATGCTCGTTTTAAAGAAGGAAGAAACTCGATCGAAGACGAACCTAGATGCGGTCGGCAGTCTGTTGTTGCATGTTCAATTAAGGACTCAGTAAAAGACATGATAAATTGCGACAGAAGAACGACTGTTAGAGCTATTGCAGATGAACTTTGCGTATCAGTTTCTATTGTACATGGAATACTAATAAGTGTATCAGCCGACACAGGAAATGCATCGAAATTGCAGGTGACTACGTTGAAAAGGTGCGACGATCGAAGGACTTTAACGTCGCATAACGTTGCAAATGACGTCGGCGTGCTCCGGGTGTTTGTTATATGGCTATTTACTATTTTTATTATGTTTTAGTTTCTGTGTGTATGATGATGATATTTTCAGATACTGTACAGTATATATTGAAATAAATGCGTATATATTTATATTTACGCTAACCCGACTACAACGTGTGCTATAAAACAATTCTCAGAACTTCCCGAACAACCCTCGTATAAGCATCCACAAATTCCGAAAAAAAGTGTATCAAATGCAAAATACATTGAAACACGTGATCGTTTACCCATAAGACAATGTGTTCTAGTGTTGCCTAAGCATGCTTGTTATAACTTGTTCTTGTAAGTTCGAAACTAATGGGGGTGTTGCAGTTTTGTGATGCAATTTTTCAATATTCCAGGGCAACCTTGACGCTGTATCAATCCGGATGGACCATTTAAAAAAACCAGATAGAATTACAAATTTTGAAAAAAAGTCTCTTGCTATGCCTACCATTATGACTTTGAACAACAATTTCCGACAAGTCCGTTATCACTTACGGTATGTCTTTTAAGCGCTGAATTATTTGATATTCATTTTCTTAATCGGTGAGGACAAATGAGCTTTATTATTAGAAACTAAGTCAGTATTTGAAATAAAGTATTATTCCTCTCTTAAATGAACATTCAATTTTTAAAATCATATTATAAATGGTTAAACTACGATTTTTTGCAAGTAATGTATGCTTTTCATTCATTCATTTAAAGTTCAGCGCCTTGAAACTTTACTGCAGATTTTGTCGTATTGCATTTCTTTATCGTCGATGAGAACAGACGGGATATATTTTCTGAAAATTAATTTGATATTTGCAATACAATATCATTCTTCTCCATAATAAACTTTAAATGTTCAAAATTGAGTCATAAATAAAAATTTGGTAGTAGGTATCCGTTTTGCAATTAAAGCCGGGATGAGACAAATTTAGGTCAGCAAATCGCTCATGAAATGACTGGGGCATATAGTGTTATCCCGTTTTGTCATTCCGTCCGTCCTTCAATCATCATCTGTTTCCGTTATCTTGACAACGGTTGCACACATTCAGCTCAAATTTGACAGATGGATCATAGCAAAATTCAGGTCATGTGCGAATTTGGTAGTTGTCCGGCGATTTTTGACAGAGTTATGCCCCTTGATGAAATTTTCAGTTTCCGATCATTATCTCCTCATTCAACTCAAATTTGGCATATGGATACGGAAAAGGAATGCGCAGGTCAAGTTCGAATTTGGTCATGGTTTGATGATTTTTTTACAGTTTTATGCCCCTTTAACTTTAAGAAAGGAAAAGAAATTTCAATTTCTGTTCATTTACTCTAATTCAAGTCAAATTTAACGTATTGCTATGTCATAGGAATATGCAGGTCAAGTTCGAATGGTTCGTGATTTTTAACAAAGTAATCCCTCTTGAACTTTGTAAAAAAGAAGAAACTTTCAGTTTCACCACTTTTTATAAAAAGTTAATGAGAATATTACTCGATATAAGTAATATTTTTAACGAAAACTTTGCTGTTACTTTAAGAAACCGTGTAAATTTAGTGAAGGGTCCCCGGAATTCTTAGGTTTATCAGATGGTGTGATTATCTTCTTGTAGAATTTTCCTTAAACCGGGACTGAATTCCGAAAATTATATGTGGTAAAGAAAACACAAACTACATAAGGCTTTAAACATTTGATATTAAAGACTCGCGATGTTGATAGGCTTAAATGTTTTAAAGAAAATACAAATCATATCTTAATTTTAGTATGAATGAATGAATGAAGAACCAACCAACGGACGGACGGACGAACAAATGAGTGTATGAATGACAGAATGATGCAATATACGTATATGTTTAAACAAATTGTTGAGTGTCTGTCGAAAGTACGAGTTATCTTATTTTAAAGACTAACTGACTTGGTAGAAATTTTATCATCATAACGAAAAGATATAAGTTTTTTTAAGGATATGTGAAGACTTAAATGTGCTAGATTTCACAATGAAATGTCGCAGATTTTGTTAGCCAAAAAGTTTAAGCATAATGGTGAACTTGTCGTCCCAGAATGCTCAAAACTGCTTCACGCCAAATCATAAGTTTTCAAGCTTCACTTCAAATCATAAACCAAATCTATTCTGATAAGATCGAGTGCCGTGAACATAATTTCAGGCTTTTCTTGCACATCGTGGTATACCTGCGAAAATACAGAGATCAAATAAAGCAAGAA